TACTATAATTTATCTTAGAGTAAAAAGAATTATATTTTTAGCAGATAGAGAAAATAAGTATATTTTTAAAATATGCATATTTTTTTACATTGTTTAGGATATGTTTGTTAATTTTGCTTTCAATTTATGCATCACAGAATGGAATATTTTTACGGCGTCCTTTATGATGCCATTCTATTGCCGCATCTATGCAAGCGACGGCGACGATGAACGGTATTCACTTATCAGCATCTGCGCACGACTCGATATTGCTTATGATGATCCAATATCGCAAGTGTGACACGTCGTTGCTATCTTACGTAATATAATCCCACGCGATATTTTCTAATAAGTACTTTTTGTTTCTATGACACATACGGCAAGCAACAATAGGAAGGAAAGTTTGCTTTACAGAGGAAAACATTTAATTCTTCTGGATCAGAATATACCACATTACTTTAACTATAGATACAAATTTCCAATCGCGTTTTACAAATTAAACTATTCATGATTCGAACTAATTCCGTCTGCTAAGAAATTTTTACATGCAGTTACCGTAAAATGAAACTTGACTGTCGCAATTTATTGTCACCGGCAACGAATCAAAGCGCTCAGCGATGCATAAAATATAGGTACAAGAAAAGTTTCACGCCGCTCGTTAACATCATCGCAGATTCAAAATATCCACAATCCTTGCGAACTGTGTGTCGAGTGCGCGTATAAAGCAATTGTCGGTGCAACGCCGTACATTTAGAAAACCCGGGATGAATTTATACCGTCTCACAACGTGGTCAACCGAGCCGGGCGGTTATGAAAGGAAGGTTATTGTTTTGCTTGCTTTTGCATGTTGCAAGTACGAAGGTTCGCGACCGCCCAGCTTTTTTTTCCACGAGCGCGCCCACACCTTTCGAGAAGGCATTCTCCTACACAGCGCGGAATTTCTTCGTTGCGCGCCTGCCAACAGAGTTGCTTTGCCCACTAGCACGATTCCACTCACACATCTGCTCGTGCCACGGGTGGCCTATTCTATATTAAACAGTATGGTAATACACCTACGGGGCGAAAATGAGTAACAAAGATACCCGAGCACAGCCTTGTTATTATGCAATAACTTACCACCCTTTCCTGCGCCCACCTTTCAACCCTCTTCGTAGCGCCGTGCGCGCGCTATGTATTCTTCGAAAAGTCGACTACATAAAGCAAAGAGAAAATACAGTCTAATGTATTTTATGGGACGAGCAACGTCTCTATCACATTGTCGACTGAATATGCATGCGAACGATGCATGCACGCGTAATCATGAATGTATGTCGGGTGATGGTGCAATAAGTGTAATTGGATGTTCCGCAAGAGAGCAAAAACCGTATTATTTGATAAATGTAATGGTCTACTGAACGATTAAGGTTAAACGAAGATTTTTTTTCATAGCAACAACTACAAAGTCATAGACACATGCAAGATTAATAGTCACGCCGATAAAAGACGAACTGTCAAATTGCATGCGACGATCTAATTATTTCAGAGCCTTGCGGCGGAGAATCAACCCGTTAATGAATGATTTGCGCAACGTCGACGAGCTCCGGTGAACCGTATTTATCGCGCACGTCCGCAAAATTTCGATAAAGTCCTGACGAGGGCATAAATTCCACCACGGAATTTATCCGTATGACGAATGCACGAATACGCTCACCGTTGGCGCGCCGCGCTTCCCTTATCGATGCACGCAACCGCAACGAACGGAACGATCAGATCTCTTTGCGAATACTTTAAGCGCTTATATCGTGCCGGCGCGTGATTCGCGTTCGAAAAATGTGAAAGCGGATCGCGAGCTTTTGCAGTGCTTTGTAGGGAATCGCCGCTTTTACCGTGTAACGCGACACGTCTCGCTAATGAGCGAATTAAAAAGCGTTACGGACGCGCAGTGCGGTGCTTAACACGCTCGAGAACTTGTTTAAGCTACTAATCCCTCAACCGACTCTTATCTATTCGCAAATTCCAGCCCTCATTACGTCCTATCGCGATTTAATAAAGGGGGAAGTTAGGTAAACGAAAGCCTTTAAGTGTAATTGCTAACCCGAGCAACGCGCGATAGCCCGCTATCTCTAATAATACGACTGTCGTGCATCAAAGTTGTTGCGCGCGAGGAGCGATTCCGATCTCAAGATCCTGACGACCTGACGAGCGCGCAGGTCGCGCACCATCAAGATCCTCGCTGAGGGTAGGTGTATCCCTGAGATGCCGACGAGGTCTGCCCTGCCACGGGCCGATCGACCGTCGTCATTTAATGCGCGCTTCGTCTTGTCTCCTTCGCCGGCTCCGGGTCGGCCGGGAAATCCGCATCGGGGGAAAGCAGTAATTTCCAGTACGGCGGGGATAATTGAACAATTACGTACGGTGCGCCGCGCTTTTAGCCGAGCACTCCGCGCGAATCCAGTTCCGCGAATAGATCGGATAGGCGAAAGAGGAAGGCAGGAAGAGAGGTAGAAGAGGGTAGTTCGCGAAGGAGCCGGCGAACCCGGGATTGGGATGGAAAACTAGAGAGAAAGGGAAAGTAAAGAGAAAGAGAGAGAGAGAGAGAGAGAGGAAAAAGGGAGAAGGACGGGTTGCGAAGGCGTGGGAGCAATTAAAAAGTTTGATTACCTTGCGACGAGTCATGTTGAACTCACGGCTGCACCCTTTGCATTGGGTGACCAGCCGATCGTTCGCCCAGGTTACCGAGCCCTCTTGCAACGCCGACTGCTGCTGCTGTTGAGCGTTGTCAGCGGCCTCGCGCAGTTCGACCGCCGCTAATTTGGCCGCGCTCAATTGTCCCCCAAGTTCCTCCAGAGTTCGTTCCTGCTCGCTGCACACCTCCTTCAACGCGTAATACTCCTCTTGCAGCGTCAAGTATCTCTGGAACAACGGGATATCTAGTTGCGATTATCCGGCGATTATACGTATTCACTCGTCCGTTCGTTATCGCGATTAAAGGCGGATCAATACTCGGTTACTAAATGTTGCGATACGTAAACGCAACTTGCAAAATTGTGTGTCATCTAATAATTGATATGTTAATTAAAATCGATATTTAAAATATTGATTTATATGAAGAAACGCTTTTAGATAATATAGATTCTGATTTAATTATATGTAATAAACTAGTATGTTTGCGTTTTTTTCATATAGGTTTTATAAATTATTTTCTTACATTTTGTCAGTTGTTTTTTATAGGTTTCTGTCTTCCCAATATCTAAATAATTTCTATTTTATTTTATACCTATGATTACTATTCTTATTTCTAATTTCATCTTTCAAGAGAATAATTTAATATTTGGGAGTAATATATTTCTATGCTTCATACATTAGTGTCATTATATTTGAATGCACTCGGTGGATGCTATTATTTCAGGTATCAAGATTATAATTAATTTATTTTTGTCCAACGGAGCTAAATAGCGCGGATGTGATATATTTTAGGAATCCGCAGAAATAAAAAACAATTTGATAATTCAAATAAATTTCATTAGTTTATTTCGGACCGAAATGCGCCGTCGCGGTACTTACTGTCAGTTCTATAATCGAAAAACGTATAAATCACGATAACGCTTTGTCGCGATTGAATTAGGTGCAGGCTTATAATCTATGCTGACGGGTTTCGGAATGGGATTTAAATAGAAAGATCGAATCGCCGCGCGCGTCTCCGCGAAGTTCTCCTTTCTCTGAACTTACAAGTACGACGATGCGACGATAAGGTAACCGTGAGATTTATTAGCCAAGGTATCCTTAAAAGGCAATACTGATCGCACGCATGTACCTCGGACACCCGTTTCAACTGATCGATCTCCTGATGTAATTGAGAGATCTTCTCCGTGTTAGAGATCGATGTTTCCTGCAAGGAGGTTCTCCATTCGCGCTCGAGTCGCAATTCCCTCTCGACCCCATTCGTCCGTGCTTCCCGTTCAGCGGCCTCGGCGCCCAGGATTCTCACCCTCTCCTCCGCTCCCGACCTGACACCATCCATCTCCTTACACCTGATTAAGTCAAATCAATGAAACTTAAACGTCGAAGATATAAAATTCCCACCGTCCCACATCGTCAAAAGTCATTTTGCTCAATTAAATCAACAATCTTTAATTCATATTTTGCTCTAGAATTACATTAGGATTTCGAATGAATCTGCCAATTAATGTAATGACGCGTGATGTGTTACATGTAAAATGATCATTTTATTTACTCGATATTGAACTATCAAATGATATCGACAATCTCCTATAAATTCATCATCGGCAAGGAATGGTTCATTTAATTTGCGTATAATTTACTGCTCATACTTGTTTATTAACATAAAAGATAACATTTCCATATTATGTATTTAATTCAAAATCATTGCGCATTTATTTTAAAATTGATCAAAGTCAATACTCATAAATACGTTATAAGTAAATAAAAATGTATTTATCGAAAAAGTGTATTCTTTTTATCGCATTTAAGGAACTGTATTGCGATCACATTGAAAAATAAGAAATAAAAATTTGCAAATTAATGATTATCATATAAGTATGCATAAATAATTTTATTCTTATATAAAATATGGATTCAAAAACAAAAAATGGGAGAAAATGATTAAATGTTACAAAATACTGCAAAAGTGCCAATCCAAAATTTTACGATTAATAGTATATATTATATAATTGCAAGTAACATATAATATTGTCCAAATATTTACCAAAAGATAAGAGACAGATATACCTATATTTTTCATATTCTCTTAAAATATGAATAAATTTAATAAAATAGCAAGGCCGTTTATATGCTGATTAATTTACAATTTTAATGGTAATGTTATGGATATAACTTACCTTACAAGATTATTGCATATTAGCAGTTACTATTCAAAAATCAATAAGACAGAAATTCTTTTATTTTGCAATTATAAAACAATTCACATATTAAAAAGACAAGCTAATAAAAATTCTCTCTATTTTCAAGTTATGGCACCTTACGTCTAATGTACGATGATTCTAGAATAAACAAACCGCACATTTTTTTTATTATTTATTTTCGTAGCGTTGGTACACAAGTACACGTAGTGTTAGATTACGTATAATATCCACTGCGCGAGACTTATATGAGTACTTAATTGTATCAGTAGTATATGGATATGGCACGTTTAATTAATCATCACTAAATATTTTGTTTACTTTTGACAAGAAAATTGCTATTATTTCGAAAAATGTTTTATATGAGGATGTATCAATTACAAATGTCGAGAATGTGATAATTTAATTTATTCGAAGCGCTCTTGTCATTGTAAACATAAAATCAATATAAATCAATTGAAAAAGAATGATTCGGTGACAAAAATGATCGCAAATCACCGACGATCAGTTCCTTAAACGCGGATGAAACAAATGTTTTAATTTAGATACGCAAATACGATTATTTATATCCTTTCCTTAAATAATGTAAGACGAGCACAATGATAATGAGAAATTTATTTCTGTTCTGCATATCATAAATATAGAGAAATAATCGGCATAAGATCCAATAACTAAATACTCGATAACATTAGCTTTCGTATATCGTGTGATAGCATTAATATATTTATTAATATAATTGTCATAATGTATGAATTTGTCAATTATTGCGGAATACTTTAAAATATGTTTCGATATAATATTAACAACTATGTCTCGATTTAACTAATATTTATAAAGTAGCCATTAGTGAAGGTTTGCCAATATCCCCGTGACGATAAGAGTTTATTTAATCCTTCGCGCGTTCCTCTAATCTATCCTATCTAAATCTAATGGTATTCGCAACATCTAAGTAAAAAATAAATCATTTCTAGCTAGAGCAGTCCATTTAACGGCGTGCGTGCATTGTGTAATTATTGGTACGACCGTTCGCTATCATATTAGAATACCGTATAGTGATAGTTGATAGAAAAGTCTTATCATAACAATTATATTTGTACGTAAATAATGCCTGCTAAAATAGTTCGGTAACGTATGAAGACATCTTTAATCCTTCTTTCAGAAATAGTAACATTACGCGAGAAGTACGATGGAAAAGGTTTACCAAATCCTTACATATATATCAATTGTAACATTCTCTTAAATAATACCAATAACGGCACAATATTTGATAACAGCTGATTTAGCAAAAATTTCAAAGCGTGTAACAAATATGAGTATTAGTCCTTTTTATATATTAGCCGCGATAAATATGTATGGCTATATAATTAAAAATTATATTTTTTTATGTGCAAAACTTCATCAAGAGAGAAAAGTTTACAATTTTTGTAAAATAAAAATAAAATAACGATACACGAAATATTTTATTTTTCTTATTGCATGTACACATCAAAAAAAAATTTGATGCATTGTTTGGATTTTTGATAAATTAGTAATTGCTTTTTTGATAGATATGTAATTGCTGACTGAGAAGAACAATAAATTCATAAAACAGATAGTATGTATATATATACAGTAAAATAAAAAAATAATTATTTACAACAAACAAAAAATACGATCAGTTTCTAAAATATTTTACAAATTGAGCAAAACTGTGTTTTCGTTCAATTTTTGATAGTATTATTTCTATTATCCGTGAATGTTTGTTTTCTATAAGATGTGTCGCGCTACAACATTAATACGCTATTAGATAATGCAATATTGATCCAATTAATTGCAATTATGATGTTGCGTTCATCATATAGAAAATTCTTCATCAAAAATTCACGATAACTAAACAAAAAGCTGGCTTATCAATGCAACTTTTGTATTAATAAAGTTGATTAGATAAGCTACTTAGCAAAAAAAAAAAAAAAGGTTAATCCCTCTGTGTAGAAATACAAGATAATAAGAAGTATGAATTTTTTTCGACGTTTGTGATTATTATACTAATGGCGCTCTTTACTTTTTAATCTCCAATAATTTAATCTGCATGTAATTACACAATCGCACTTATAAATTAATTAATACTAATGAAAGTAAACATACTTCTCATCCATTTTTTGGATGGTCTCAGTCATCGACAGTGTTTTAGCTTCCAGTTTTGTGATTAGTTCTGTCTTATGCTTAAGCGAGCCTTCGCACTCCTGAAATAAATACTTATTGAATATAAGCGAAAAAGACGATCATATTTATCCAAATTTCTATAAATAAACCTGAAATAATGCAATATAATGCATATTGATTTAAAAATTATTTCCATGTTAAGCATATAATAGTTTAATAGAATTAATGTATACATTATCTACGTCTTGCAATTTGCAATATTTATCACACATAAGATTTATAATATCTTACAAGATATGATGTAACGAAATGTTTGAGAGTTTCTTTAAATTTCGTGAGAGTTCTGCAAATCTGTTTTATCTTACATCTATAATATCATCAATCGTGATCGGTGAGTAATTTAAATTTATTAAAATTTATTTGTGAAAAAATATATATATTCTGATTCTCGTGTAAAACATTATTATTTTAATAAAAAAAGTTTTATTAAAATAATAACATTATAAAAATAATTTATATTGGATGTTGTTAGATTTTTATTCCCTTGTTTTCATTACATTATTGCCAAAAAATTAATATCATATATATACATATATATAAATCGAGATGTTAAAATCAAGATTATTTATTAAACAAATTATAATCAGTTATTGCTTCAGTAAAAAATATATATAAATATACAGTTGACATACAGTGGTACTGTAAAAACTTCTATAAGAGAATTATTGTCTTGAACGTAACAGTCTGTATCGGATTAAACCGAGCTTTGCTAACTCGATCTCAGAAAAGCGCAATCTGCTAAATCATTTCGTTACACCATAATAATTATGCGTGTTTTGTCAATATAATAACGTCGATAAATCTTCAAACATAGCACTGAGAATAAATACTAAGTATATACGACAATATCCTATGCGCAAAACATAAGTTGAAAACTTGAAAAGATAATTTTGCACATAACTCTGTGTAGGTGTACGTATACAAAATATACGCCAAAATGTATGCAACACTGAATAGCCGCAATTATCTGAAATGTCATCCGCTATAGAATTAGTCATGTAAGAGTAGGCTCTCTTTAGTCTTTCGCAACTTGCTCGATTATTGAATTATTCGTGGTTATCTCGGAGGTAGAACGACTTTGTTTCAATTTGTCATTAGATGCTTTCAATGATTGCTCGTCAAAAGAGCGTTGATGATCAATCGTCGGCCGAGCGGTCGCATTATCCGCGGATGGGCACCCTCTCGGAAAAGAGGGGCTAGTCTTATTAAAAATAGATTTCGATATACCACCTGGAGTGGTAGGGCTTCGTATACCTTCGCCGTCCTTCATCAAATGATTATACTTCTCGAGGTTGTTAAGAATCTTGCCAATCTGATTGGTCTTCGCGTGAAGACGGCTCACCATCTCGCCTTTTTGTGTCAGCTCATGCTCACACTCCTACAAGGGAAATATGTCCAGAAACGGAAAATTTACGTATTTGCCAAAATTTTCTCGGACAGAAAAGATTCCAGCGAAATAAAAATTCCCATCACTTTCAGCACTTACAAAAAAAAAACACCTAAATACGCTAATTTAATGCACTGATAACCTATTTTGCCTATAAGATGCAGTTTAACTATCCGCTAACAAATATGTAGCTGAAATATTATTGGTGAAAATATTGATACACAGGAAGACATGAAAGAGATTCTGTGTTATAACTATCATAGTAACTAGCTGTTTAAAAATATATAAATTGTATGATTAAAGCATTTTATATAGGCAGTATAATTATATAAATAGATGCATATTATATCTCAAAACCGTGATATAGTATACTCGTTTATATTATCTATTTATACTTCGTTTATCGTATAAAATGAGAAAATAATTTTATATTAAATGAATGATTTTTTAAAATAATAAGAAATAAATTTACTAAAAAAAAATTATTACTGTATGGTAAATAGTAATGCAATATTTTTTTGTACAGATATCAAATGTTTATATGTAGCAATGTACAGTTATAATGTATAATTACTTTATTAAAATAATTAAAATAATAGATATATGCAAGTATGCTATATCATGGAAATTAAAAAACTATTCAGTAATAGTTGCAAGTTATATATAAATATTATATATATATATATATATCACCTGCAGCTTTTTGTACATTTCCAAGTTGATCAATTTGATATCCTCCAGTTGTCGCCTTAAAGATATTATAGTATCTTGCTTCTCATGTATATCCTTTTCTAACAACTTCATAGCTACTTCCATTTCGGATTTCATGCTAATCTGTATGAAAGAAAGACAAAGATACTAATCAATCCTTACACTTTTATTTGTCTATATGCGTATATTTTTATAAATCTGTATTATCGAAAATTCATTGAAAAAGTTATCACTGTAATATCACTATAAAAAGGAAAATGTGGATTCTTATCGACCTGCAACTCCAATTCTTTTTCTAAATCTTGTCGAGATTTCTTTTCAGATTCTAATCTGCTTCTAAGTTCTTCTATTTCCGCAGTGGTTTCTGTTATTTTAAGAGGTATCTTCCCATTCTAAAATTAGATCAAGCTTTCAATATCAGATCAAACTATACATAAAACGCGCAATTTTAACATATATATATACCTCATTTGCGTCTTTAACTTCTATACCAAGTTCCTTTTTTAGTTGTCTGTTTTCTTCTTGAACTGATAAAATGTTATTCTTAGCAATAGCGAGATCTTCTTTCATTAGAGCATTCGTTGTTGTTAGAGATTCTACTTTAGCTTGAAGATTCGTTACTGTTGCGCTAAAATTGATAAGAAAATATCAATTTTGAGCATAAAATAATAACACTTATACGTGTATATGCGCAGTTTTTTTGCTCAATATTTGCGAGAAAGATATATATTTACTTTAGATGTCGATTGAGCTCTTCAATATAATTCTTTTGATCAAGCACTGTAGTCATATTGTCATTTTCGAGTTCATCATCTGGCGATTCACCAGGTATATGATTACTGTTGCGCAGATATAATGAAAAGTCGATTACACCTTGCTGACAATCGAGGTCTTCTTCCTGTCACAATAGTTACGATCGATCTTGGCTTAACATTATTATCGCTCTGGTCAAACGCATATAGACACACCCTTTTAGACACGTGTGACATTAATCTAGACTGACCTTTACGCAAAAGTTGCAATCGATCACATTTAATCCAACTAACAAACCCATCACTACGATGGCCTCCTCGCTCATCATCAGAGCATCTGGTTCAAAATATTCAGATAAAATATCATCTTTGTGATCTATTAGAACTTTGAGATAATCCGCTAATTTCTTTTGCATTAATGCCATACGCAGCCAAGCACGCGCCCTACCCATAGCCGTCCTGAAAATAGTAATTTCAAAATACTATGTCCTCGAGGATCGCTGATTTCTTTCAAAGTATTGATAAAATATAAATTCTATAATTAATTAATAAATATAATTATATATTAACTAATAAATATAAACTGATATAGTTCTAAACTAATCCTAGATTAATTAAAAAAAAAAAGTCTTGTTTAAATGCCAAAAATAAAACATGGTGAAAATAATAATGAAAAAATTTAAAAAAGAAATTAACTTAAAAAAACATCTAAAACACTTATTATTTGATAATATGATACACTGCTTTTTAGCAAGAAAATAAGAACATTGCACGTATTTTATTTTGCCACCATAACCAGCTGAGTAGTAGAAATACGAAAAATATATTGTTAATTAATTATATATTCATTTACGAATAAAGTCAGGCAAATAAATATGTAAATCACATTTTTCACAATAGAAATATGCAGTACCTAACAGTAGGTAAATCACGAATGCTGGATGTAATATCTTGTGCTTCGGAACAATATTTCTCTACGAGCTGGAGAATATCCCACAGCTCCTTCTTGGGTCCGAGAAGACCCTGAAATCGGAGACTGTTAGTACCAATGTGAAAAATTTGCTCTGCTGTCCGCATGACGGCAACCTTTACCTTCTTCGGCCGTAAACCATGCCTAAGCACATGTTCAAGGACGATGAAAAAATGTTGCAATGGCATGTGATCAGAATCGAGCATACGACCATATTTCAAAGATGTTTCGATCAGTTCCTTGACAATTAGTTTTGAAATGTTAACAAGATTACTCCTCTCGATGATCACCGGATCCCGTGCTGCAAAAACAATACGTGTCTGCTCTCTAACTTATAATAATCTCAATTTCTCACTCTCAATATTTAGAAAAATGGCTTCAAATTCAACAGTAAATATCGTAAATATAAAATATAATTTTTTAATTGATTAATTATTAAAATAATGTTAGAATTATTGCATAGCACAATATGCATTATTCTTTTTTGTACTTTTTAGAATAAATAAAAATTAAATAAAAATAGTCAAATGTGGAATCGTAAGCCAAATTTTGCAATAGTTTCGATGCTGGAAAAATGCATTCCACTTAAAGCGACGACGCGAAAGCGTGACAAAGAAAAAGAAATTTTTTTTCCGTTGTGAGCAAGAGAAAAGCAATACTTTTTCGTACGCGGTATAATACGTCAAAAATGAATTACATTTCGCTAAACAAAAAAAAAGAAAAAGAAAACAAATTTGATCTGATTGAATCTTTAATATATATATTCCGCTAATTAAAACCGATAAGTGCAACAACATCGAGTACAGACACAAGCTGGAGACGTGCTGCAATGGCGGTGGACTTGGTGGTATAATATCGCGAAGCTCTCGTTGTTCAGAAAGCTGTTGCTGATGATGATGATGATCATGATCATGATGATAATTAATACCACTAAGAGCGAGCGGTGGTGACGGTGACCGCTGCATCGAGTCTTGTAGCGAGAACTCGACATCCTGAAGCTCCTTTAAACAGAGCCATTCGCCGTCTACCGATACACGAAAATTGCACAGATATATCGTGTCCTGGGCACCAGCCATATCTTCCTCCAACATGACTCCGCCGTGATGTACACCACCGTGATCGCCCGGTGGCCGCAATTTAAAACCGGTCAGGGATTCCTGCCGCATAGAAGACGATTGCTCTGCCCTCACTATCTCAATTCTGGAGATCACACGATATTTTTCGATAGTCGTTCACTTGCACAGAAGCTCTTGATTTGCATAAACTCTTATTTCCTTTAGTGATAATTTTCGACTGTAGATTGATTTGGAAATAACTTATTTATCAGAACTAGATCCTTCACGTTATTAAAATAACGAGTTTGTCATTAATAATTAATAATCGATGAGTGCGTTGACTTGTTCTTTCAATATATCTCTTTTATATGTATACGTTTGCTGGTTTATGTGCAATATTCAAGACTTGTTCACAATATTGTATAATATAAAGTATTATTTTCTTCTCTCGTTACATCAAACAGCTGATGAAAAAATGTGTCGCAATGAATGAGTCATCAGCAAGTGTTGATATATTGCAGTCAAGCTTTTTATTAGCAACGAAAGATAGAAATCTGCGTCCACTAATTGTGTTGCTCTTCTTTTGTCATGTTTTTCAAGTATTATCCTTTAGTCATTTTTTGCTAATATTATTAGCACTAAATATATATTTGTCTTGATAAGGATAGGTTCACTCTAGTGCAGTTGCACTGTAGATATCGAAGAAACGACAAATAAAATCTCAGATTAAGATGCAGAACTGATGCAGAAATGATGGATTCACACTAATGGAACTACATTGTAGTTCCACGATTATTTGCTCACAAAACAGTAGATAATCAAAAATTTGTGTACTGTTAAAAATGACGTAAAAGTCGTACTAATGTCGAGCGAGGAAAATTTCACGTCGGAGATAACGAGAACGCCGGTGACATGTAATATTGATTTTCCCGCTGACTTTGTCTCCACCTATAATAATCAATACGAATACCACTGCGCAGTACTGTGTGGTGCTGCCATCAGCTTTCTGGATTGCTCCACCGATATGACAGTGACTTTGGATTACTTTAATAATGTAAACACGATAGCAATTCAATTTATTCGATATACAAGAATTTTTATAGGCGAACGGTAAAAAAGTGTAAAAAAATAATAAATATTTCAAGATTTTATTTCATTGTTACAAAAAAATTTTGAATACTTTCATATAATTGTATACAATTATGTAAAAATGGCATTGTGTATAAAATGTGCATCTGTCTTAACGCTGTCTTAATTAAGTCATATTTATCAATATTTTTTTATTAATTACATTATCACTGAAAGTGATAGGTCTAATCAGACCTGAAATAGATGCAAATGCAGGTCTTTCCTATACTGAGAATTTAGCAATATAAACAACATTTGTGTATTCACAATTAAACAAATCACACACGTAAATAGATTTCGATATACCACCTGGAGTGGTAGGGCTTCGTATACCTTCGCCGTCCTTCATCAAATGATTATACTTCTCGAGGTTGTTAAGAATCTTGCCAATCTGATTGGTCTTCGCGTGAAGACGGCTCACCATCTCGCCTTTTTGTGTCAGCTCATGCTCACACTCCTACAAGGGAAATATGTCCAGAAACGGAAAATTTACGTATTTGCCAAAATTTTCTCGGACAGAAAAGATTCCAGCGAAATAAAAATTCCCATCACTTTCAGCACTTACAAAAAAAAAACACCTAAATACGCTAATTTAATGCACTGATAACCTATTTTGCCTATAAGATGCAGTTTAACTATCCGCTAACAAATATGTAGCTGAAATATTATTGGTGAAAATATTGATACACAGGAAGACATGAAAGAGATTCTGTGTTATAACTATCATAGTAACTAGCTGTTTAAAAATATATAAATTGTATGATTAAAGCATTTTATATAGGCAGTATAATTATATAAATAGATGCATATTATATCTCAAAACCGTGATATAGTATACTCGTTTATATTATCTATTTATACTTCGTTTATCGTATAAAATGAGAAAATAATTTTATATTAAATGAATGATTTTTTAAAATAATAAGAAATAAATTTACTAAAAAAAAATTATTACTGTATGGTAAATAGTAATGCAATATTTTTTTGTACAGATATCAAATGTTTATATGTAGCAATGTACAGTTATAATGTATAATTACTTTATTAAAATAATTAAAATAATAGATATATGCAAGTATGCTATATCATGGAAATTAAAAAACTATTCAGTAATAGTTGCAAGTTATATATAAATATTATATATATATATATATATATCACCTGCAGCTTTTTGTACATTTCCAAGTTGATCAATTTGATATCCTCCAGTTGTCGCCTTAAAGATATTATAGTATCTTGCTTCTCATGTATATCCTTTTCTAACAACTTCATAGCTACTTCCATTTCGGATTTCATGCTAATCTGTATGAAAGAAAGACAAAGATACTAATCAATCCTTACACTTTTATTTGTCTATATGCGTATATTTTTATAAATCTGTATTATCGAAAATTCATTGAAAAAGTTATCACTGTAATATCACTATAAAAAGGAAAATGTGGATTCTTATCGACCTGCAACTCCAATTCTTTTTCTAAATCTTGTCGAGATTTCTTTTCAGATTCTAATCTGCTTCTAAGTTCTTCTATTTCCGCAGTGGTTTCTGTTATTTTAAGAGGTATCTTCCCATTCTAAAATTAGATCAAGCTTTCAATATCAGATCAAACTATACATAAAACGCGCAATTTTAACATATATATATACCTCATTTGCGTCTTTAACTTCTATACCAAGTTCCTTTTTTAGTTGTCTGTTTTCTTCTTGAACTGATAAAATGTTATTCTTAGCAATAGCGAGATCTTCTTTCATTAGAGCATTCGTTGTTGTTAGAGATTCTACTTTAGCTTGTAGATTCGTTACCGTTGCGCTAAAATTGATAAGAAAATATCAATTTTGAGCATAAAATAATAACACTTATACGTGTATATGCGCAGTTTTTTTGCTCAATATTTGCGAGAAAGATATATATTTACTTTAGATGTCGATTGAGCTCTTCAATATAATTCTTTTGATCAAGCACTGTAGTCATATTGTCATTTTCGAGTTCATCATCTGGCGATTCACCAGGTATATGATTACTGTTGCGCAGATATAATGAAAAGTCGATTACACCTTGCTGACAATCGAGGTCTTCTTCCTGTCACAATAGTTACGATCGATCTTGGCTTAACATTATTATCGCTCTGGTCAAACGCATATAGACACACCCTTTTAGACACGTGTGACATTAATCTAGACTGACCTTTACGCAAAAGTTGCAATCGATCACATTTAATCCAACTAACAAACCCATCACTACGATGGCCTCCTCGCTCATCATCAGAGCATCTGGTTCAAAATATTCAGATAAAATATCATCTTTGTGATCTATTAGAACTTTGAGATAATCCGCTAATTTCTTTTGCATTAATGCCATACGCAGCCAAGCACGCGCCCTACCCATAGCCGTCCTGAAAATAGTAATTTCAAAATACTATGTCCTCGAGGATCGCTGATTTCTTTCAAAGTATTGATAAAATATAAATTCTATAATTAATTAATAAATATAATTATATATTAACTAATAAATATAAACCGATATAGTTCTAAACTAATCCTAGATTAATTAAAAAAAAAAAAGTCTTGTTTAAATGCCAAAAATAAAACATGGTGAAAATAATAATGAAAAAATTTAAAAAAGAAATTAACTTAAAAAAACATCTAAAACACTTATTATTTGATAATATGATACACTGCTTTTTAGCAAGAAAATGAGAACATTGCACGTATTTTATTTTGCCACCATAACCAGCTGAGTAGTAGAAATACGAAAAATATATTGTTAATTAATTATATATTCATTTACGAATAAAGTCAGGCAAATAAATATGTAAATCACATTTTTCACAATAGAAATATGCAGTACCTAACAGTAGGTAAATCACGAATGCTGGATGTAATATCTTGTGCTTCGGAACAATATTTCTCTACGAGCTGGAGAATATCCCACAGCTCCTTCTTGGGTCCGAGAAGACCCTGAAATCGGAGACTGTTAGTACCAATGTGAAAAATTTGCTCTGCTGTCCGCATGACGGCAACCTTTACCTTCTTCGGCCGTAAACCATGCCTAAGCACATGTTCAAGGACGATGAAAAAATGTTGCAATGGCATGTGATCAGAATCGAGCATACGACCATATTTCAAAGATGTTTCGATCAGTTCCTTGACAATTAGTTTTGAAATGTTAACAAGATTACTCCTCTCGATGATCACCGGATCCCGTGCTGCAAAAACAATACGTGTCTGCTCTCTAACTTATAATAATCTCAATTTCTCACTCTCAATATTTAGAAAAATGGCTTCAAATTCAACAGTAAATATCGTAAATATAAAATATAATTTTTTAATTGATTAATTATTAAAATAATGTTAGAATTATTGCATAGCACAATATGCATTATTCTTTTTTGTACTTTTTAGAATAAATAAAAATTAAATAAAAATAGTCAAATGTGGAATCGTAAGCCAAATTTTGCAATAGTTTCGATGCTGGAAAAATGCATTCCACTTAAAGCGACGACGCGAAAGCGTGACAAAGAAAAAGAAATTTTTTTCCGTTGTGAGCAAGAGAAAAGCAATACTTTTTCGTACGCGGTATAATACGTCAAAAATGAATTACATTTCGCTAAACAAAAAAAAAGAAAAAGAAAACAAATTTGATCTGATTGAATCTTTAATATATATATTCCGCTAATTAAAACCGATAAGTGCAACAACATCGAGTACAGACACAAGCTGGAGACGTGCTGCAATGGCGGTGGACTTGGTGGTATAATATCGCGAAGCTCTCGTTGTTCAGAAAGCTGTTGCTGATGATGATGATGATCATGATCATGATGATAATTAATACCACTAAGAGCGAGCGGTGGTGACGGTGACCGCTGCATCGAGTCTTGTAGCGAGAACTCGACATCCTGAAGCTCCTTTAAACAGAGCCATTCGCCGTCTACCGATACACGAAAATTGCACAGATATATCGTGTCCTGGGCACCAGCCATATCTTCCTCCAACATGACTCCGCCGTGATGTACACCACCGTGATCGCCCGGTGGCCGCAATTTAAAACCGGTCAGGGATTCCTGCCGCATAGAAGACGATTGCTCTGCCCTCACTATCTCAATTCTGGAGATCACACGATATTTTTCGATAGTCGTTCACTTGCACAGAAGCTCTTGATTTGCATAAACTCTTATTTCCTTTAGTGATAATTTTCGACTGTAGATTGATTTGGAAATAACTTATTTATCAGAACTAGATCCTTCACGTTATTAAAATAACGAGTTTGTCATTAATAATTAATAATCGATGAGTGCGTTGACTTGTTCTTTCAATATATCTCTTTTATATGTATACGTTTGCTGGTTTATGTGCAATATTCAAGACTTGTTCACAATATTGTATAATATAAAGTATTATTTTCTTCTCTCGTTACATCAAACAGCTGATGAAAAAATGTGTCGCAATGAATGAGTCATCAGCAAGTGTTGATATATTGCAGTCAAGCTTTTTATTAGCAACGAAAGATAGAAATCTGCGTCCACTAATTGTGTTGCTCTTCTTTTGTCATGTTTTTCAAGTATTATCCTTTAGTCATTTTTTGCTAATATTATTAGCACTAAATATATATTTGTCTTGATAAGGATAGGTTCACTCTAGTGCAGTTGCACTGTAGATATCGAAGAAACGACAAATAAAATCTCAGATTAAGATGCAGAACTGATGCAGAAATGATGGATTCACACTAATGGAACTACATTGTAGTTCCACGATTATTTGCTCACAAAACAGTAGATAATCAAAAATTTGTGTACTGTTAAAAATGACGTAAAAGTCGTACTAATGTCGAGCGAGGAAAATTTCACGTCGGAGATAACGAGAACGCCGGTGACATGTAATATTGATTTTCCCGCTGACTTTGTCTCCACCTATAATAATCAATACGAATACCACTGCGCAGTACTGTGTGGTGCTGCCATCAGCTTTCTGGATTGCTCCACCGATATGACAGTGACTTTGGATTACTTTAATAATGTAAACACGATAGCAATTCAATTTATTCGATATACAAGAATTTTTATAGGCGAACGGTAAAAAAGTGTAAAAAAATAATAAATATTTCAAGATTTTATTTCATTGTTACAAAAAAATTTTGAATACTTTCATATAATTGTATACAATTATGTAAAAATGGCATTGTGTATAAAATGTGCATCTGTCTTAACGCTGTCTTAATTAAGTCATATTTATCAATATTTTTTTATTAATTACATTATCACTGAAAGTGATAGGTCTAATCAGACCTGAAATAGATGCAAATGCAGGTCTTTCCTATACTGAGAATTTAGCAATATAAACAACATTTGTGTATTCACAATTAAACAAATCACACACGTAATTACAAGAAAACCAGCATTAAAAATATCACTACACACGGTTCATTAATGTATTACTATCAGTCAAATTTTAATTCTTTTTCCCTCTTTAATTTCTTATAATCATGTAGCAGACAACTACGCACAATATAAAAAGTTGGCAGTGTGATATACCATATATATCACTGTTCTCGTGGCAATCTGTTATCATTCGAGATACAACTGGAGGATCAGTCGAACGCTCGAACAACAAATTATATAATAAATCATAAAAAGTTGCTGCTATTACCACCCATTAATGTTAACAAAAATATATTATATATACAAGCAAATCTTATCAAATTTAATAAAAGTATTTATGTGTTAAAGAATGATATTACAAATATAATATATATAATATATATGTTTTCTGATATAACCATTGTTTATTTAATTATTTATGAATATTATAAATAGCTATGTATTATTTTTTACATAGCTAAAATAGACACAATTAGATCTTGTTATAGCTAATACAAAACCCAAATAATCTACTCAGAATATTCATAGAAATTCCCAAGACTTAGTCCTTCCTAAATTATTTTAACGCTTTATTTTTTAAATCTTTTGTAGATCTGTCAAATAATGATACATGTTATAAAAATATATACACAATAATATATACGTTTTCCCTCTAACGTACGTATTGTATAATTTTATGTTACAATTCAAGAAGAGAAATCTTTTCTGTCATTATCTTTGTGATAAGAACCATTTAGTCGTTTATATTTTGGGTGGCAGACATTCCATGTAATTACGTAGATTCTCGAATGTATTTAATGCTGCGATATCTTGTAGACTCTAACTGGCACAGAATAGACCTTAATAAAAAAACACACGTGCGCACATAGTATATTTACGCGCGTTTATTACGCGGGCGCCAAGCTAAGCCCGCGAGCGCGGTATTTTGAAGAACGCGCCGAATCGTGGGAGCATGCACCTAAAACCTAACGTTCTATGTACTCACGTCTCGGCAACCACCAGACATCCAGCTTTCTGGGTCTAGACACGACGAGGTCCGGCCATTTGTCCTCCCGTATAGAGTAACTCGACGGCGAACGCGAGACACTTTTCTCATTTTCATCAGATGCTAGGCTACCGGTGAGCGATTTCTCGGACGGGGATATTGGCAAACCGTCGCTACTTTCCGCGGCCATATTTACGTTTTCACTGTCGACCAGCGGCGCATGAATTTACCGACAGTGTATATATACGTATACGAATACATACACACGTATATATCTCTTTGTGAGGCACCTAACCGCCGCATTCCTCTTGCCAACACGTGGTAAGAATACTCGTCACGCTTCTCTATGCACGACTCTACTAGACTCTTCTCGATAATCGCCGGATGGAATCCGGAGTAATACGATGGAACTGAAACAAACATAGCTTGACGTCATCGACGAACGATGTTTGGTATGATTTTTTTTGCTAAATGATCAAGAACTTAGACATATCAAGAGATAATGCAGCATCAAAATAAATACAGAACAAAAATGCGAATCTGTATCAATATTTTTAGCGTTAAAAAAGCAAATCTGTTCACGCAAAGGAAAATGAACATTCAGTCAATCTTTCTTCTCCGGAAATGACAGATATGTAATAGGAAATTGACTGACTACCTCATCGTTCCTTCCGCGTGGGGAGCGTTATCGCGTTCTATATGTAATGTGTCAATAGATTCCATTCCTCTTTTTCAGTTATTTGTAAAAGACCTGTCGCAAGTGTGCCCGGAGGAATTTATTCTTCTTGAAATATTCTTTTTAAAATATGCTATTAAATACAAAAATCTGAAAGACATATGATTTTTTTCAAATCCACTGTTTTGAAATTTAAGGGGTTCAATAAACCCTCAAGAAGGTTAAACAATCACAAAAAAACAATTTTGTTAATCAATGGGTACCGTTGAAATTGTCTGAATTTTCTTGACAAAAAATACATATGAATTTAAAATTATTAGTTAATTTAAAAAATATATATAAAATTTTTCTTTTTAAACGTTTAGATAATATTTGAGTATGTATCTTGTAGATATATTTTATATATTGAAA